GCAATCAACGTCGATCGATCGATGATTGGATTTAATCATAATCACCATGAAGGTATATTGCACACCGTTCAGATTCACAAATGTGAAAAACATAGGAAAAAACCGCAATCTTAAGCTTGTATTTGGGAGTTTGATTTCTTGCTGGTTATTCACTGATAACCAAACACACACAATGATGATTATCATCATCATCATCTTTGAATAATATCATTAATTTACATTTGTTACCCTATACACACAAAACAAACCCGAAAAAATTGTCAGTCAAGTCACATTCAGTTGGGGAGAAAGAAGAAACAACATAAACATACATTTTCAACAAACAAACAAGAATTATCAAAATGTGGGAAATTGGTTAACGAAAAAAAGTTTTTCGTTGTTTCTCTGAATGTTTTGTCTCTTTGTTTTGCTGCCTAAAAACATTTATAGACAATGTATATATTGTGTGCTGAGTAACATGACATGACAAGGAAAGATAATCGTTTACCATCGTAGAATCATCATTATCATCATAGTTAATGTAGATCGACATTGAACACATGGACTTTATTATATAAACAAATGATCATCATCATCATTATTCTCTTGGGTTTTTATTTTCTCGATCCGATCAAACTTTTTCATTCATTCATTCATTTCATCCACGACTCTATTGGCGATATTGCCACAGTTGGATATCCATAGTCTAATGCTGTCACTCTGTGTGTGTGAGAGTTTACTGCACAGAACATCAGTCAATTGCAATCCAAGTCAAGTCAGTCATCATTAAATCGGAATTTGTTGAGCAAAAATTCAATTGATTGACTGACTTAATGAGATTCATTCATTGGCTGGCTAATTTGCCATATGCCATTTTCATTTCATTTTTCCAATTGAAAATCAATCGAAAAGGTGATCTATTGGTTGGATGTAACAAAATTCGATTGACATATCATCATTGTAAAGATCGTGATATTCATTCGTTGAACTCAACATTGGTCAAGATTGGTAGAAACTTTTTTTTAAAACTCCCAAGTCATTGATGATGATGAGTGATGATAAATGTTTGAATCAAATTTCAAACATCAGACAGGTAGCACATGATTGCTAGTTGGTTAGTTGATGTTGTCGATCTTCAGCATCATTATCATCGAATGGGTGCTGAGAGATTGGTCTTGGTTTATTTGTTTGTTTGGTTGAGTAACCAATCAAATTACCTTTTTTCTTTTTTCTTTGACTACTTGAATAATCATCATCATCAATCGATATCGATTATCCTCTCTATCTATTAATAGAAGATTTTTCTTGAATTATAGGCAATCATTATCGTCATGATTATAATTGCAAATAATCATTATTTTTTGTTTTGTGGCTACTATCGACATTGGGGTGACTCTTTTGCATTTCGCATTTCGATGAAAAATTTCCACATTCTTTCTCAATATCTGCAATGATAACCGAAGTGAACTGGCCATAGACACAGAAAGCATCCATAGAGACGAATGAAATGAAGCAAAGCAATTATGTAATCAACACACAAACCAAAACTATCTAGAACAATAGACGAAATGAAATGATAAAAAGACCAATATAATGAACGGATGCAAAAACAAAAACAAAACAAAAAACAAATTGCACAATTGGAATAGAGAAAAAACAATTTCATTTTGCTTATCGCAATTCGGGTTACCATGGCTGGATGTTTTATGAATGTAAATGTAATGAATGTTTGAATGTTTTTATTGTTTTTTCCTGCTATTTGATTTCATATTTTGATATTCGGTTCGGTTCGATCGAATCTAATTGGTAACCGGCAATCATAATCATTATGAATTGTGCCATGTTAATGTTTGTTGTGAAGCCGGTTGACAAAAGAAAAATTGACGACGGAAAATTTACGACCTTTATCTATTAATTTCTCCATGCCGTTATTATTGTTTAGTTTTGGTTGTGGTCTTTTCGGCTAATTATTTTGTCGTCATTTTTGCTTCATTAAATAGAAAATGATGATGCTAACTGACAAAACGGGATTCCATTGAATCAGAATGAAATTCGATAAACAAACACGTGTCAATTCTTGTTTCGTTCGGATATTGACACTGTCACATAAACCACACAAACCATCATTATCATCATCATTTCATTTGATTTGATTAGAGATTCAAAGCACATACACACCAAAAAAACGGAATTCTAGCTGTTGAATTCTGAGGAAGCAAATTCTGGCATCATCATCACTATCATCATTATCGTTCATTAAAGACAGAGAATATTCATGTCAGGAATATTTATAAGTTTCATTCATTCATTCATTCATTCAGTCAGTCGTCATTCATTTCAAAGAGAATTTAGCTTCAACCATGATTCATTCATCCAATCATGGACTGCAACAACGACAAAAAACGTTTGGCAAATGTATCAAAATAACAAATGAATAGAGTGAATAGAGTGAAAAAAGTTGTAATTTTTCATCATCATTTTCTGAACAAAAAAAATTTATAATAACCTGACAGTGTTTAAAAAAGCCGTAATAATCTTTTTCCTTTTCATTTTGGTTTGAATCATGTACCCCAATTTGTAGCATGTAATGTATAATGATTACTATTAATGAAAAGAATCATCATGCTAACAAACCTATGAAACTTATTTATAATCCATTTTCATTCATTCAATGTGTGTTTCATATGAATAATCAATTTGTCATTTGACCCAAAACCCCAGTACGACGACGACAACAAATATCCAGGGTCATGGGTCGGATCGTTTTTTCTCTATTTCAGGCTATTCTCAGGTGTATTTCTTACCTATTTTTTTTTGAAAAAACCATTCAATAGAAAATTAATCCGTTTATTTTATTCGGATCTATTTGCAAATTGACAAAAAACATGATCGGTAGGAGAATGAGAGAAGAAAAAAGAGATTATAAATCTCATAAGAAATCGAAATTGAATTTGAATAATGAAAAATTCATTTGCAAAAAAAGAAAATCTGTCCAATGAAAAAATTCCAATAACACATTATTGGAAGGAGAAAACAAGCAAGGTATTTTGATATTTCAATTTGTTTGGAACCAAAAAATTTGATATCCTTAATTCAATTCGAAGAAAGAAGGAACTTCAAGGTGTGTATGTTTGCCAATAATGATGATCATCATTCGAATTGAATTGAATGATCATCATTATCAACAACAGCAGCAGCAGTATTCATTCAAAGATGAAAAATTCATGTTTTTTTCATCTTTGTGAACCGATCGACCAACTGGTCGTTCATTTCGATCGAAAAAAAAACCAGCAAAACAACCTAACTTTTTAACTATCTACCTGGCTAGCTGAAAACATTTGCAGAACGAAACTAAACTGAACTGAATTTCGAGTCAAGTAGCCAGCCACCATTACACACATTTCGAAACAAACAACAACAACCAGAAAATAATAAAGACGTCAAACTTTTTTTCTTCGCAAACATGCATACATCATACAAAGATAGACAGAGAGGAAAACGAATTGACTTTCATCTTCACGTTCTTCGTCGACATGTCAAGACGTTTCTTTCTTTTCTGTTTTTTCTTCACAATTCTTATTCACTTTTTTAATGAACAAAAAAGTTGAAAGGTGGCCAGGTCACAAATGCTGTGTGTGTTTGAAACAAACAAACAAATGGCCCCACGCTATTGATTAGGCAAAGTCGATACATTTTTTTCGGCCAAACCGAACCGAACTAACGATCATCATCAATGATGATGATGAAGAAGCCTAATTCAATTGAAAATCATATGTGGAGTATCGTGCAGCGCAAACAAGCATTGTGTGAATTGTCGACATTGAATTTTTCCTTCGAATGAGAAATTTCAATGTTTGAAAATCAAAACAAAACAAATCCAACAACAACGACAGATTGGTGGTTGTGGGCTTGAATTTCATTCAAAGCAAAACAAACATTCGTTCCAAGACGGATGGATCCTTTTTCCTTTGAAGAAATTTGACCAGCAATTGTGTGAACAAAAGATGGGAAATTTTCTCTGGTTTTTTCATTTCTTTTCTTGATCGATATTTTTTTCATTTTCGGGTTTTATTGTCTCTGGGTTTTTGAAAAAAGAATTTCCAACTGTGTTGGTGTTCCAAAGAGAACAAATCACTTGGACAAACAAAATACCAGAGCAAACAAAACAAACAAGCAAACATTTACCCAACCAACAACCAGAAATGAAAAATTTTTCAATCATGTTCATCATCATCTGTGTAATAAGGAGGATGGTTAAAGACGATCAAATTACAATCCGGACAGGCAACATAATTTTTTCGATTAATCACATCATTGTTTGATTGCAATGACAAAAATTCCACTCCATGGATGACCTGCACTCGGAAATGGCTTGAAAGCCTAATGAATCTAAAGGTTAATGAAAAATTAAGGGAAAAGTGACAATCATTTTTCAGCTACAACCAATGAATTTGGCTAATGTTTTTCATGTTATATGAGTGAACTACAATATCAGTGATAATGGCAGTGTATTATGCTAATGGTAACCAATACTCTCTCCTCAACAAAAAATGTTGAATAGAGTCATCAACAACAACTTTCAATCGAAAGTTAATCAAGCAAACTTTTTGACCTAAAAAATGAATGAATAAATCGAATGGAGACATTCATTTTCATTCGATCAATGAATTGAATTGAGAGACCCTTCTGTGCTCAGTTCATAATCAGTAAAAGAAGAAAAAAAGTTTCAAAATTTTTTGAAACACAAAAAACTGAGTGAGAGAAAATGGATCGTTAGTGTTCAGAGTCCGCAGGGACCAATATCAAAACATGGACCACCGCCGCTGCTGCTTATGAATCGAAAAACAATATGGTTTTCTATCAATGATGAATCGAATGAATGAACATGAACAATCCAAAATGAATGATATGTTTTTTGTTTCAAACAAAGAGCGAATGATGTTCACTTTGTGTTTTTGGAATGTTTGGATGTTGTTGTTGAGTGGAAATAGTGAAAATAGATGATGATTATGAACACATACCTCGATGATGTCGTAATGAATGACTTTCCCCGTTATAATGTCCATTTGGTGATGATGATGACGATAAAGCCATCATGGACGACGATTGTTGTTGTGATGACCAATGTCTTCGTGATGCTTGAACCGTAGTGATAATAGTCATTATCATTATCAACAAGAAACATTGCAATGAACACTTTATTATCCAACTGATTAATTGATGGCTATATTTTGCCATCATGTTTCCATGTTGTGAACATTCATTCAGTGAAGAGGAAGATAATGGTAATTGTGATCGATGTCTGCGGTGACATCCATCCGAATTTACCGAATGATAATTGAATAAAACATTTGTCGTCGTTGGCGTATCGATTATCATTTGATGGAACAGCCGAACATCACCATTATCGTCATCATCGATTTGAAGTTTGTTGGTTGCCATTGTTGTCATTTTTTTACCATTATTATCGATCATTTCACAATCAATTATCGTCGAATGATGCCCTAAAATGCCCACACACACATAAACACTGACTAACGGCACACAAAATGACACAAAATTGATCTTTTCCAAAACAATCCGATGCGAAACATACACTTATTTTCACTTCAAAATGATGATTTGGAACAATCGAAATGACGCAGAAAAATGATTTCGAAATCGGTGAAACAAATCGAAAATGACACACACACAAGACACACTATATGTTGTTGGATTTTGTTGACTTGTTGATCGTTATGACGATGATCTACATTGACAAACGAAACATGGTCAAAAATGGCTTTTGTCGAAAATTTTCCAAATTCCAGCAACAAAATAAATAATTTCTTTTACAGCCTACGATCGTTGAATTGTTTCCATCGTTGTTGAAAATTTTTGGAGAAATCAAATCAAACAAACAAAAACTTTCAAGTGAAAATTGTTTTTTCCATTTGGCGAATAAACCAATCAATCGATCAGATCAGATCAATGTTCGATTGTTACGAACAATATTTGTTCTCTGCAATAATCAAATCAAGTATTTCAATCATGATGCAGATGTTTCGTTGGATGATTTCAACTAAATTTTTGTTTCTTCTGATTTCATTTGATATTTGATTGACAGGTCTGAGAAAGAAGAGAGCATGAACGATCATGTTGATCAAACAAACAAACAAACCAAAAATACACTGCACAAATCTTATGACTTTATGGATTTGTTGAGAATCTTTTTTTCAGAGAGAAATCCATATGGACAACCACCTGTAGAGTAAACAAATCATCACACAAAACACAGATAGATCGATTGATTTTACCAATCAATTTTCTCTTGGAAGTTGGAAGAACGAATCAATGAATCACACAAAAAGATGAGCAAAAAAAGGAAAAGGAAATTCAAACTCAAGTTTGGTTGATTCAACCCGGTTGTTGTCAGAATAGGAGTTTCCTTTGTATCGTGTTGTTGTTTTGGGCGCTTTTTTTCCAAACACAATGCGCACAGCGATGTTCATCTAAACAACGTAAAAATCCGAATGATTTGTGTGTGTGCGATGGTGTGGTCTGAATCTCGGAAGAACAGAAACCATTTTCGAATATGTAAAAGGTAGTAGTTCATTCAACAACAAAGCATTCCAATCGACAGTCGATTTTTGAAATAGTAGTAGCATAGTGGAAATGAACAAGTATCCAATGAGAGTATGTATCCTCCTCCTCTCAGCAAATAGATCCCATCAGAATTGAATGCTACTACTATTTGAACCATAATCGAATGCAGTTTGGTATTCGATCCGATCACGATGATCATCAATAATGGATTGGATGTGTGGAAAAAACCCGGGACCACATAGTCTATTATTCAGGTGCATCGAACCGGGACCCGAAAAAAAGCCACACATTGTTGTGATTGTCGAGAATGGCAAAATCGAAAATGTAATGTAAAAATGTGGAAAATGTATGCATGTGTTTTTGGTCGGGATCCAATGGACCGATGATGGACCAAAAACAAAAAACCCACTTGGATTTTCGCGATTCAAAACAAACGAACCGAAGATGATAAATATCGAACCAAAAACCATATTGTATTGCATGTTTTTCAGCCAGTTTTTTCAGAATTGAAGGTCGTCATCCATCGATTGCATTACGATCATCATCATTATGAAATGTTTGAATCTTTTTTTTTCGCGTGTCGCGTGTCATTTTTGGTAAATTCCTGCTTTTCATTTTGTCTTTTTATCTTTATCTGTAATCATCATTGATACATTTCTGCGCGATTGGGTCATCAGAACATTTTTTGGTAACAATGTTTTGATCGAAGCGACCATTAAGGGTCCCTTTTTTGTTGGATTTTCTCGCCAAACAAACCAAGTTCATCAACGGATCATTGATTCCAGCATCAAACAAACGAAAATGTTGCATTAAACAATGACGATTCTTTTTTTCTTTATATTCGATTTGAATGAATAAATCAAATCGGTTGCTCATTTTCCATTTCCGTTTTTGTTTCCCAAACTCTGGTGTCAACAAGAATAACGAGTCCTGTCAAGGCCAGGCAATTGTTTATTGGATTTTGCATCTTTTTGCATCACCACCATTCTTACTATTCTCATTCACATCATCATCATCATGATGAACCAAACAATATGGTGCACTTGACAGGCTTGTGAACGACACCCGCCCGAAATGGAAATGAAATTTGCCAAAACGAAAAAAAAATTAACCAGTCAAAACATTCTTTGGCGGTGAAATGACAAACAACAACAACTAAGCTCGAATAAGTTAGGAAAAACCTTTGTCCCATTTGGGACAACAACAAAAAACGCATTTTGAAAAGTCAATCCAACAAAAGGCATCAATTTTCTACCCAGAAGTTGAAATGAATGAATGAAAAAATGGAAACCCCATTCAGTCATATCCATATCATCCATTGTGATTATGAATTTGGAAATTTTAGTTTTTTTTCAAATTTTGAATTAACACCAGCCTAAAATGACTCATTTTACCAATTTACTGAAGTTAGGTATTATGCGAATGTCAACGATCTTCATTTTCATTTGCATCCCTGACTGATTTGATTTTTTTGCATCCCCGAAGAATTTGAGCAACAAATAAAAATGATGATTACATCACTGAAGAACTGGACAAACATGAGGATTTATTTCTATTTCTCACCCGAACCAAGCAAATAAACATTGAGAAAAAGCCGATGACATTTAGTGTTTGTTTTTTTTTGTTTTTTTTTTGATTGTAACCATACCAATTAGTGATCATGATGGATCCATAGATTTCTTTCCTTCATTTTCATTCGCTTCGTTATCAACAACAAACAAGGACAAATCTTTTTAAAAACGATAACGACGATAAGCCACCGAAAACATTTTGATTTGTTTGGTTGGCTTATCATTGAATGCCAGCTAATTTATTGTTATTGGTCAGTCGTCATCATCATCCATGATTATGATCAGCATTGATGTTTGCTATTCTAGTTTTTCTCAAAGATTCGCTCTAGACGAACGATTTATTGACATCGATAACACCGATTACCAATCCTACTAATATTTGCCATAAAACAATGTTGTTTCCAGCGAAAAAACCAAACAAACTTATCGTCGAATGAAAATCACATTGACCAATCCGATTTGATAAAGCATCTACAAAATTGATTCGACTTTCTTTGTAAATTTTAGACTTTTTTAATCATTCACTGGAAAATGTCATTCATTTCGAAGCAAAATTGCGGTGACATCTCGTTTTTTATCCATATAAAAAAACCAAAAATGATGATTTTAAAAAAGAGAAAAGAACGGAAATGACCAATCATTATCATCATCATTATTATGTTACCTGGACACTTCTCGAATTTCAGCATTTCTTCCATCATCATCATCACCACCATCAAGCTCAAGGTGATGCCGACAAAAAAAGAAAGATCAAAAGTGGAAAGTTGAAAACAAATTCAAAGATAACAACACCGCACATCTAAATTGATAAAAAAGAAAAATTAATTTTTTTCAATTTTCAATGCAATTAATATGAAAGGAATGAAGTGAATATTGCAGAAGCCAATTAAATATTTTTTTCACAAAAATCAGGTAAAGTGGAGTCCTCTTTCGGCGAAAATCTAATCGCCCAAAAAAGGTCAAAACGATAATTTTTTGCTTTGATCAGATAACTGAGGAAAAGATGTTTTTAAGATTTGAATTTATTTATCGTTTTGTATTCGAAGAGAAAACAAATCGCATCACCATCCTTATAGCATAGTAATGATTGTAATTTTATGACATTGAGAAATTCAAGCCAGCTTGATCATCATCATCAAATTTTATCATTATGACTGATCTTCTTCTTCATCATATAATCTTTATTAGCAAAATTTTCGATATCTTTTTCTTCTTATTTTCCTTCATTCTGTTTTTAATAATTAAATAAATAATGGTTGAATGTTCAAGGGCGCAATACGCCTACCACTACCTTTCTTATCATTGTCATTACATAATATTTTATTATTTTTCTTTGTCATATGGCTACCAAAATTATGGAGAAATTCTGGGGAAAAACTTGCCTATAAAAAACGAAAATTTCGATCATTATCATCACACATTCGAACAACACTGTCAATTAATTCTGACCATCCTCATTCATTCATCAAACATCACCATCTTGATCATGGAACAAAAAAGTTTTTTTGTTTATTTCATTAATAACCAAAATATTGATTGATTTCAATCAATGTTTTTGTTTCGTTGAAAATAAATGAATCCTACACAACACAGCAATTACATGGTCAAAATACAATTGATTTCTCAAACAACATTCAATTTGATGATTTAAATGGCCTAGTCCATTTATAATGTTTGTTTGAAAAACTTTTTTCTGTACGCACCCCGAAACAACAAAACAATAACCTGAATGTTTGGCTGAAGAAATGTTTTGGAACAAGTTAGCTCCATATGGAAAATGGATAAAAAGCCTGCTCCAAACGATGATGATCATAATGGACTGATGAAAAGTCATAACAATCGAATAGCGAAACTTTTCGATTTCTGATGTTCCATCATTGTAAATGATGATGATCCCTCTGATGATGAAAAATCACTTTACAGATCAATTTCGACCAACAACAATAATAAACAGGTCGATTATTCTTGGTTAAGCAAAATCAAAGAGGGAAAACTATAATTAGAATAAAATGAATGACAAAAAGAGACAAAAATCTATCTTGACATTTGTGTTTGATTAGCTTGTTAGAATAGATTGACAAACCAATTGATAGATTTAAATTCTTGAAAAAATTTCAATTCCAATCGAATTTTCCCTGTTGAAAACCAATTTCTTTTGCACACTTTTGGTGTATCAACCTTAAATTGAATTAATTTCGATTCGAAATTCTCAACATCACCAACAGTTAAACCAACCACGGCCATTAAATCGGAAAATTGGAAATTTTGAGCAAGTTGAATTTCAATGAAAAAAACTTTCATTTTAACACGCCGAACAACTTTACAATCATCATCAAACTTTTTTGCCAATTCTATTTTGGCTAAATGGAGCCCGAAAAATCCAAAACAGCCAAGTTTGTTCCGAAAACGTCAGCAAAAATTTGTTAAAACTTTGTCATTGCAATATGGCCTCAAATCGATAGGTGTGTGTTTTGTTTGTAACGAAAAAAAGTTGCACGTGTAAGCGATTTGTTTGTTGATTAATATACAACGAATAATGAAATTCTTTTTTTTCCAATTAACCGCTGCCGCTAAACATGAACCAGGTTTAGTTTTTCTTGTTTTCTGTTTTGCTTTACATTCAGCGGACTCGGAAAAATTGCCAAAAAGCACGCACAAACATTATTGGGCGAAAATATCGAAAAAATGATTTTGAAGTCTGGCTAGAAAGAAGATTTTTAACAAAAAAAGTTTGCAAAAGTATTTCCAAACAAAACAAATACACATTATGTAAGGATGATGATACTTGTGATAAAATAGACATCACAATCAGAATGATAAGAGAG